CTAGTATATATATATATATATATATATATATATATATATATATATATATATGGGTTATCGATATTTCCAAGACCTTGGTCAATAATTCGATCGAACGTTACACAAACTCGATTTATTGTGTAATATAGTCCGACACAGACAGCAGGCAAGAATCTGGAGCAATTAGAGCTATTTCGAGCGATTACTGGAACGCCACGGAGGCAACGTTTACCATCCGCCAGCTAGTAAAAATATTTTCTCTGCTGTGTTTTCGCTTTGAAGTTTCATCCTCATGTAGTAGTGTGTCGCGATGTTGGGAAGAGCTTTAATAAACGAAGCCAGATACGATGTACAAATTTCTAGAGAAGCAACGATAGTTAATCAGAATCTCGGCCCGGTACACTTGTCTCGATCCGTGTCGAAACCGGAAGTCACGCTTCCTCCGCTATACGCGCGATTAATTTTCGCGTCGTGTAACGCGATAGGAACATTTTGCAAAGCGTTGTTTCAGAGGCCGTTGTGGAAATCGTTGTGAAAATTATACGACGACGACAGATGGAAAAATTCACATTTATTCAACGATGTTTAACGAAGGAACAGGGAAGAGGAAGAAAAGTACGTTTCGATTACATTTCAAGAGTTATGTTTCCTTCGCGGTATTCTATTTATAGATAAATATATTCGAGACGGCCGAAATCGAAGGTGGAATCGGTAATCCGATCCACGATGAGAACCAGCAACAAAGTTGCGTAACAACCGTGAAAATTCGGTCGGTATCGCGTCGTCGTTGCATGTTTTTAATAATCTATATAGCATGGAAATATTCAAGATAGATGCGAGATGTATACGTTCATATCGTCTATTTTCGGAATTGCTATCGAAAATACCGATTTAGTTCTCTGTACGTCGGACATACTACGGCCGTGGTAACATTGGCGAAAAGAGCTGGAAGCATCGCTCGCTATTTTCGACTAAACACCCACGTATTTCTTATCCATCGACCGTGTACCCCGAGATGTTTTCCATCTTCACGCAACCACTCGAATATTTTTCTTTGCTCTTCGTCCAATTTTTCTCTCCTCCATTTTATTCTCTACTTTCAATGTTTTCACACAGATTTTGAATAGAACGTCATTTCCATACTTGGAACGTACCTCGATCCCGTAAGCGATTACAATCCTTCGATTTTCAACAAAGAAAAATATGCATCGGGGCTTCCTTTCATCGTCGTGCTTCACACTCATTCACCTATTTATGAAACTACGTTATTTTGGTTGTTCCTTTTATTAGAAGTAAGACTATCTAATTGACGTTCAATTATCGTAAAATACATAAAATCTTAAGAGAATGGGATAAGCGAATGTGAAACTCGTGGAGAACGAGTTTGAAAGAGCTTAAATGTATTACGCTTGTCTCGTTCATTTTAAAATAGATTTTATGCGGATAGAGAAAATTCGGAGAAAAAGAAATCGTTAATTGGATGAAAGAGGGATTGGTGTATCCTGAGTATCCTGAGTATAATCGTTGATCAGTCGAGGATATGTGTAATTGTCGTCGAACGTGTGATTCCCTTCGTATATTTCTTACTTCATTCCTGGAATGAACAAAAGTAACGTTTAACACTACGAACGTTTTTAACGCTATGTTGAAAGGTAACAGAATGAACCATTGTAGCGGAGATTTCAATGATCAAGTACAATATATAGGAAGCAAGTGTCGCGCAACAATTATTCGTGAATTCGAACTTACCGTGACGAGGAACGTCAATTTCAAAGTTAAAACAATCCCGAATACAATAACCAGAGGCAAATCAGCAGGAGGATGAGTATAAAGTACGTGGTTAAGATGTTTTTCGTTTCGTGGGCTGCCTGTGGCATTTTTTCACGATGTTAGATGTTTCACGACACTAAAGAAAAATTAATATCAGCATGCGATCACGGCTATGTCAAATTGTTTCCTCCGGACGGACGAAATACTCCTACCCAAAATATTGCTCGTTCTGTTTAATTTTTTTCTTTTTTATTCTCGATCGATCTTTTATTCTGAATCGGTCTCCTTTATGTCTCCTGTATGATTACGGATCGATCGGACGAAAGTTTCGGATGAAATGGCGAAATTTTAAAGAAATCGCGCTCAACGATGAAAAATCGATGAAAAATGGAGAATCGAACGGGAAAATTTAAGACCAAGCACCGCGCCACTTTGCGTTCGATCTTCGACTAGATCACTCAGCGCAGGATTCACGATACGAACGAAGATCCCGAAATTCCTCCAGGAATCCGTGTGAAATCCCCCACCAATTCGATCACGGATACCACCGCGTTGCACCTTCCCTTGTAACTTCTGGTCCAGGATTGGTAGCCCACGGGTCCCACCACCGTCTTTTACTGGTGCGAAATCAACGAGTTCCGCCACCTCGAGTTATATTAAGCATCGTGAATATTGGATACAGCTTCAGTGGAAAATGTTTCGGATCGATTCACTATCATCATCGATGTAAAGATATCTCACGGGTTCAAGGTCGTGTAGGTGGCCATTAATACGTGTCATTGGCCTTTGAGGAGCGTTGCGACAATGCGAGAGATCAAACAGATTTGGAACGAAACAAATAAGAGACATCGTAAATCTCGATTCTCTAAATTATAAAGAAACTTTCTAAGAAACTTATGATCGACTTATAAATCATTTTGAATATATTTTACGGGGAAAGATGAACAGTTCGAAACGAAGGAGAGATTCGTTCATGATTCTACATAAACTTATATATATATATATATATATTTTTATTCAGATAATAAGGTCTATTGTTCTTCTTTTCTTATCGGATGATTTATCAATAAAATATTTGTTAACTTGGTTCATGTATAAATGATTCTAATCTAGTCTATTAATGAGATCTATCACGTAACGTTCATACGTGAAAAATACACAAGCGTATATAGTATAAGCATTATGTTCAATGGAATACAAACCAACCATACATCGAAGCGTTAATTTAATTATAACATGAGGCAAGAAGACGACGATGTCACTTAGCTTTGGTAGAGGTGTTGAAAAGAATCGATTCTTATTTTTAAACAAAAATTATTCTTACAAACGCCTACGCTTTAAACTTGGAATGTTGACAGAATTCACGTGCGGTGCCACGGTTTTTCCCACGTGACAAAATAATAACAAAAATATCATAAAATTTTAATCATTAAAAAAAACATGATTCATCAGAAAAACGATTTAACGCAATCTGTTTATGTTATTAATGTGTTGTTAATGTTATATGTTTATTTAAGAATTATAATCGTGATTCAAAAGAAATTTTTTTTCTGCAATTTTTTTATGCAAACAAAGATGAGACGAGGAATGAAAAGATAAATTCGATTATCCAGCATTCAATATTCAACGAGAGGAGAGTCCTTCGATTTGATTGATAGCTAAAGCTATTTTAAATCCTCGAGGAAACTCTGTTCGCTGAGTTTTAACATTTGATTAAGCTGCGCAGAGCTGCTCCTCTTTAGCTTTACCAACGTCGTTCATCATTTCCAGTCCTTCGGTTAATTTTATCTCGTAAGCTAAACATTAACCTTATAATGGACAATATACGCTAACATGTCCAACCTAAGCTTCGTCTATGTTTATAACATTTAACGAAATCACGTTATTTTCGATACGATCAAAATTTTATCGATCAATATAGATTTATCATCTAATTTCTTATCAGGCATAATCTCATTAAAATCTTTGGCACAAATGAAATATTATGTAAAATATCTCTTTATTTAATTCTCAATTGAATTATTCGTGTATTAACAAGTAGAGAGTGTTGATTGGTAACTTATAGTACATGCTACAAAGTGAATTATTTCTAGGAATGTAAATTGTACATTTTGTACACGTTATTAGCATACGTAGGTACATGAATATGGCGGACATCCTGTTACAATAACAAGCCTAACCGAAACACCAGTCACTAGACCTTTTACTTTTAAACGTCTATATAAATAAAATAAAATATTCGAATGAATATTGAAAATGCAGATATTTCAAGATCTAGAAAAAAAGGGAGCTTTGTGGAAAAAAGTTATCAACAGATGTTTCATTGGCACAAACAACCGGTTTTTTTACTTTTAAATTCTTGGCACGGGATTCGCGCACGTTTTAAAAATACAGAGAGCAACGACATAGGAGGAAAAAATCTCTCTGCTCGATCTAACAACTAACAACTCGATCTCGAAGATTCTCGAAACGATAACCGGTTCGATCTCATGGAATGAAGACTTTGTTCCACGACTCGATTCATTAAATGATAACTAAGGTATATAAATATAAAGAAAAAACCTGAGCAAATTAATGCACGCGAACCGGTGCTTGTATGTCGAGAACAGGAATAATTAACTCGTATGATTCATTACAATCGAGTACGCATAATACTATTTAACCAT